ACAGTAGTGGCTCGCCCTACGGAGTTCCTTAGCGCATGTGTTTTTAGTCAAATGACTACAAAAAGGTTACTGGCCTATAGCCATGGGCGCAGATCCCGGTGGGTACACCGGGACGCGTCCCCATCAATATTTTTAGTGTTTGGGACGTGATATACTGTGTCCCCACCACTTATTTCCGATGTTTTGCTTACTGTTTATTTTTTGAAATTGAAATCATTCCAGAGTTTTTATTGACATTTCAGAAAGTGTAGAGTTGGTCCCAGGCACTTGAGGCCAGGGTCCTTGAAGTTGTACAGCTGCACCCGATGACCGATTCACTTGATTTGATATTTGTTTATTTGGTGCAATGTATATTTTCTGTCTTGTCCGCAGGGTTATCTTGTAGATTTTTGTTTTGCGTGTAGTGCGGTCCTCCTGCACGTACTATTAAAATATTCCATAGGGATTATAATAATATGTATATCATGTAGGTGTGCATATCTGATACGCTGGGTATTAAAGGGTTAAGGAATAACTGAGATTTTGTTTTTATCGGGTATACTGGATGATAAATCACCTAACTAAAGGATTTAGTTTGTATATCATGGGGAACCCTTCATTGCTAGATTTGCTGCCATACTAAATAAACGTATTTTTAAAGACTGGTTTCTATCTCTCTCTGTGAAATATAGGCAATTAAATCTAAAATTAAGACTCGAACGCTCTATTCTTTGGAGTACAGTAAGCTGAGCCAAGAATCGTGTACTTATTATTACAAGTTAATAAAACATTTTTGAAGATGGTTTAGAAATTTAGGAAATTTATCGGAAAAGACATTTTTTTAAAACCTGTCCTGGGCCGTCCAGAAAGAAGGGAAAAGAAACGGGTAGAGTGGATATAAATGTACTTTTCTTTAGTTTTGAATATATTAAACACTTTATTGAATGTCTTTTTCGATTAAAAAATTGCTCTCTGAACTATTTTATTATTGGTAAAAACTCCTCAGAATCGCTGAGAATGCATATTTAGACACCATTTTGTAACAAAAATTCAAAAAATTCTTACCCCCCCCCCCCCCTTAGCACCTCACGCCAGCGGCGTTCGGTTATATAGTCGGTCCTTTTCTTTCACAAACGAACCCGCCCACCTTGCTTCTAGCCTACGGACCCGACTCTGTATGAACAATTATAAATTTCTAAAGAAAAATGATGCTGAAAATACCTATAGAGTCCGTTTTAGAGCGTCTAGTTTTCAAAAAATTTCGGGGGAAGACCCCCCACCCCCTCTTTACCAATAGTCGCCCGCGCATGGACTGTCCCCACCACTGCGCCCCTGCCTATAGCTCCCTTAATTTACACATAAACTAACCCGAAACTGTACTGCACATAGCTTAACATATAATAAACCAATTCCTATTGAAATAAAGGTAATGCCTTACCGCATAATATGATATGAAACCCACTTGCTACGTGAAATTTCTTGACTACCGAACTTATTTCAACTGGCCGGTGTCATGGCGGCTTTCACATTATAAGAAACATAGCTTTGAAAATGTAGAACGCATTACCACAAAGAAAAACTGTTCGGTAACTATTTTAGTGGTCCAGTCTTCACTATTTGGGATAGAATTACTTATTTCAATACAAACTGTAATGATATGTGTTGACAATTGTGCGTTTGAACCTATTTAAACTTGCCTTAGACTGTATCAATTGTAGCGTTAAACACGGTTGTACGTGACAAGGAGTATCGTCACCTTTCCAACCTCGTGGCCTTTCTCCGGGTCCTCCGTCTTCCCCCCACTGGTAAAGACCCCTAAGCACAAGCGAATTATTGAAATAAAATTGAACATGTCTCAGTCCTATGTGTTAGTTTTTGTCAAGTGGACTTTAAACCCCATTTCTCTCCCTGTCTCGCTAATAATTATGACCGCTCTCTTTGAACGGAGAAGCGATGACTAAGTCAGTAAGACAATGCGGTGAAAGTTCTTTTGGATGTATTTTGGCGTGGTTTTCCTTTGTCGATGGTGCAGGACCGAGAACCTTGCAAGGAACAGGCAGGGTCAATTTAATCAATAGACATTGTAGGCAGCTGTCTACAACCCAAACATAAAACCCCCGAATAATATGCATATAGAAATGGACCTATTGGAACAACAAAATGATAAACATTTGTATTTTTGTGAAATATATCAATACATCTTGATGACACTAATTCGGCTCAACATATCCCATACGGTGGAACAACTTAACCCACTCTCGGTGTAAATTGTGCCATTTGACCAAAAGTTTTTGAGGCCCCACCAATTTATTCCGGCATAGTAATTTGTTTGGAAAAAGCTTGTTAATGATGGACAACTCCTTAAACTATGGCAGCAAATTATGGATAGTTTAGACTTCAGGGTATTTTTTTGTGGCAATTGGCACTTACCTTACCCCCCTCTCCCCAATCTAATTAAAATACAGATATATATTTCGTTTCGTTTTTTATGCTTTCGGTAGTAAAGACAAGTAAAACGAAATTTTGAACTATAAAAACGAAACGAAATAGGACTTGTGTTTTAATCAGATTGCCCTCTCCCCATTCACTTAAATCAGATGATTGTATTCCAAGTGGTTGTAAGTCTTAAACTATTCCCACATACGTCGTACGTAGTCCTGTATACGATTATAGACAAGCGTGGTTAAAATGGCGAACAAGTTATGTCAGAAGTGGATTTAGTGCAACATAAAATGGAATAAACATCTGACTTTAATCAGATTACTATTCGCTCACTGTCGTTACAATCTTGTTACTCGGTCCTTCGTCCATTTAGAGTTAATGTCCTTTTTATGCCGGTATTCATCACTTTTCGGGGGAGCCACGGTTGCTCAGTGGGTAAGGGGGCTCGCTCACTGCAATAGGTCCCTTGGTATCCCATAATTTTTCGACGGCAAGTAACTGAATAACTGGTAATGCTCATAATGTCTCTATAGGTCAGAGTTTTCACTGCCGTTTGTTCATTAGACGATTTCGATATCTTTTGACCGAAATGCTTTTCTTGTTGCATGAGCTTCTATTGGTTGAGCAATGAACGTATCTATATACTTACAGAAATAGGTGAACGTTTCAGACAAAATTGACATAAATTCTACACACTGGGCAGTAAACAACAGCTTAACGTTATAAATTTCTTTAAATAAACTTTAAACACGATACTGTGGTAGACTGAAACGTCAATCCAACAAAACAGCTTTACAACAAATCTGTACTTCTCTTGAAATGTCATGGTTAACGTACATCGTGACATTATATAAGCTATTGTCATTGTTTAAGTAGCACGATACCCGGCTTCGCCTTGGGTCCCAAATTCGCCCGTGGTCAAATTCGTTAGGGGCCCAGAGAGAGTATGAGCTGTAACCAGATGAAAAGGTGTGTAAATATGAGATCGGACTTCCGATGCTTAGATAAGTAACATGCACGCATTAGAACACCCGATAAGAAAACATTTATATTTATTGCGCTGATACGGATGGTACCTTTAGATTTTGAAAGGGAAACATTATTAAAATCATTTGGCTTGTCATTACACTTAATCAAAATCTAGCTCCAAACAAGTTGCCCAGATGTTGTAATTCTTCCAAATATTCCAACCTCGTGGGTTTTCTTCGGGTCCTCCAGTTACCTCCCACTCCTAAAGACCCCTACGCGCAAGCGGATTATTGAAATAAAATTAAACCATATGTTAGTCCCCGAAATGACCTAGTTTGTGTCGACTGGACGTTAAACTCTCTCTCTCTCTCTCTCTCTCTCTCTGCTAAAGACCCCTACGCACAAGCGAATTATTGAAATAAAATTAAACCATATGTTAATCCCGAAATGACCTAGTTTGTGACGAGTGGACGTTAAACTCTCTCTCTCTCTCTCTCTCTCTCTCTGCTAAAGACCCCTACGCACAAGCGAATTATTGAAATAAAATTAAACCATATGTTAATCCCGAAATGACCTAGTTTGTGACGAGTGGACGTTAAACCCCATCTCTCTCTCTCTCTTTCTCTCTCTCTCTCTCTCTCTCTCTCTCTCTCTCCCAATTATTGATAAGGCATATATACTGTAATTTATTAAAGTAGAAGAGATACAATAATGAAGTATGCTTATAGAAGTCTATAAATAAAATAAAATAATGAAGTATGCTTATAGAAGTCTATAAATAAAATTTATTTTATAAGAGATGATGCAAAGGGCGACGGTGTGTTAAGGAAAAGCGACCTTCTATTTAGATCGATGCCAATCCACGAAATGGCTGTAATAGAAAACCATGGGTAGGCAGACCACCATTAAATGCCACCATGTTGGTACCCCAATGAACTTCCATTGGAAAGAAAAGGTTTGGTAAATATTGAGATGTTTATTATTGTGATATGTACGGTGGATAATTACATGTTTATAGTGTGCTACTTCATGTTTGTCTATCTCAAAACTTCCGAGCTTAACCTATAACAACTTGGAGCAAAGACATTACCAGTTGTTGCTCTGTCTGCAGCGAAAATCGTTCAGACCAACGAAAATTTTTGGAAAAGCTGGAACCGTAAAAAGAGACCTGCAGAATTAACATCTAAGTCCTTCTGCCCCTCACACACCCCCTTTATAGTGTAGAATTAAAGAAAGGGCTTGAATTTACATTTTGAGTCAGATTTTAGTGAATATTTTCGGTTGGAAGGACAACAGAGTAAGAGTTACGGGGAAGGTTGGTAAAGATCAAAATGAACAGTGGATAAGTTACATATTTAAAAGGATGCTACTTCCAGTTTGTGTATCTCAAGATTTCCAATATCAACATAATAAATACTTTTGAGCAAGGTATTACCACACATTGCTCTATCTGCGATAGAAACTGATTACCCATATGAACATTTGCGAAAATGTACAAGACGGGCAATGAGACGAGAATTGAATTAATAATAAAGTCAATGAGAAAATTTGCTATATCTGTCTGTGGCCACATGAAACAAGGAAGTAGTTATGACGCAGAGGATTTCCTGTAACTACTTTCATTTTCAGATACGTGCGTTACAATGCGCACATAGGGGATAATACTGTTAGATTATTTAGTGTTGTAATGTAAACACCCTTAGACCTACTTGTAATCGTGTCATAAAGCGTGAGTGTAATGTACTACATATATGTATATAGATATATAGACTTCATACAAAGGAAGGTAAGTTTGTATCAGATGTAGCCAACAACTGTCATCTATATTAATTAATTATTATCCCGATCGTACAGAAACGATTGCATTTAGATACATTTAAAACACTTGTTCTTTTTGTTGTGCACTCCTCGGCTATTGTTAGGGTGACCCACCATAAATAAATATCTCCATATATCTCGACAATTACGCCACAATATTTATATATATGCCAAGCCTCAAATCAGTTTCACACAATTATAGTCACTAAAAAAACGATCATGTTGTACTTAACAAGCTATGACCATTAATCATGTTTAAAATACAGATGTGACGTCACCCTTTGATGTTGGCGTACCATTATTTCAAATAATCGTACGGGCAACTTGCCAATAGTACTTTATTCATACCAGTGAGATATTGGACTAGTGTGACGTAAAAGCTCGTGCGGAGTGTCAGTATTTTAAGATGTTTAATGGTCTCGAGCTTACGACATTGCGTAATATATTGTAAAAACATTCGGGCCTACGGCCCTCATGTTGTTACAATATATTACTTAATGTCTCGCTCTCGACCATTAAACAATACATAAATAATAGACTGAAAACTGGTTCCAAGAGTCGTCCATAACATCCAGACACTTTTGAGTAAAAGATAGGTTACGTGCCCTTGTTTTGAAATTAGTCTCGCTTAACCAGCCTATCGACCATTCTACGTCTGATTGACAGGTCGGGATAATCAAGACTACTTTTTTACGAAACATAACAGAAAGCTACAACAAGAAATTGAATTTAGAAATAAGCATGTTAGGTAGCTCAACAATCGTTTTAAGAAGCTGATTCAGAGATATTATTTGTACTAAACCAAATGATGCCGCTCTTAACGGTACAGTTAATGATAAAGCGATTTAAAAATGAAACGAACGTAATTTCTAAATCTGCTGTAATAACCAAGAAGCTTAATTTTACTGCTATTCAAAATCGTCAACAATAAATTTTTTACGGCTGTAATAGTTTATAGATTTGTAGAGAATTGCACGTGCCGTGGCTATTTATAGTATCATACTGTCAGAAAGTTGGTCTCGGCACGGCGAATGTGCACGCTTCAGTGGTAGTCTCGAACTATCAGCGGTGGACTGTATTTCAGTGAGTACATGGGTCACCCTACTATTGTCTGCTCGGTTTGGTCTTAAGAAGTTTCTTATTGTTAACCTTAGTTAAAGTTCTAGACTATGTTTCATGTGGACGTATGTAGTCATCGCCCGTGTTCGTCATTCCGTCTGGACGTCCGTTCGTCCACAATTTGTCTGGACAGGTCGCAATTTTTATCCGATTTTGACGAAACTTAAAATATAGGTTTATCTCCACAAGATCTCGGTTTATTTCGATATAGGCATGTGTCGGACCGTAACTTCATGGATTATGACCTCTGATTGTAAGAAGAATCGCGTTTATAGCTTGTGGACACTCTAGACGTCACAATTTTTATCCGATATTGATGAAACTTGAAATGTATGGTTATGAATATCTCGGACCGTAACTTTCTGGATTATGGTCCCTGATTGTACGAAAAATAGCGTTTTTAGCTTGTGATCCCTCTAGAGTTCACAATTTTTATCCGATTTAAAAAAAAACGTTCGAATATTTCACCGTTACGCCATAATGATGGTTGAGTTCGAATTTCGTGAAAATCGGACAGAAACGACCGGACAAAATGGCCGCTCCCAGTGCGCAAATAGTATTAATGTATGTAATATCAATGCTGTGGACCCTCTAGAGGTCACAATTTTTTATCAGATTTTGATGAAACTTAAAACATGTGTTTATATCACATAAATCGTTCAAATATATCATTGTTAAACTCTGGCGATGTCTGAGTTCGAATTTCGGGAAAATCGGAACGAAGCTGCCCGACAAAATGGAAGCTCCTTGTACGCAAATAGTGTAAAAGTATGCAATACGAAGGTTGTAGACCCTCTATAGGTCACAAGTTTTGTCCGATTTTGATGAAACTTAAAATATATGTTTATACCCCAAAGATTTTAGTTCCTGTCAATATTGGCGCATTTCAGACCATAAATTACTGGATTATGGCCCCTGACGTATCTTGCTTGCATGACAACCGCTGATTGTTTACGATGACAATTTGTCGCAGTGTTTAAGTGTAAAATACACACTGCTCCCGAGCACGCCTTTGACCAAAATAGACATGATTATAATGATTCAAATGCTATAGAGCTACGACATTCCCAGATTAGGGTTGTGATTATCAAGTCTCTTCTGACAGTAGATGAGTTGGAAGACGCAGTTTCATAACTGTTTACAATAACCATAATGGAAACCCTGAAGTCCAAAAATCACAGTGCACAGTAAAGGTATAGCGGGAAATCAGAAGAGAACCCACGAGGTTAAGCAGGTGATCATACACCTTTTCACATACTGCTCTGGGGTCGAAACCACAACACTTGGCACTGGACACCACCCAACTACCGGACTTAGATAGCACTAATAATATGGTTTTGTAATTGTAATTTTCAGAGAAAGATGGAAACTGAAGAAAAATAAAGAACAAATGCTGTTCTTACACATCTGAGTAACAAGTGACATGCAGCAAACCAATGTAGATTATAGTAAGGAATTATATCGATTTGGTTCTTTTGAGAATTACCCTACGGGTGGAAGATCACCCTTTCAACTAGCAAGAACAGGTTTTTACTCGCTAGGTAGAAATTATTCTGTAAAATGTTATTTTTGTGGGCTAGTGTTGGACGAAATAAAAGAAAGCCCTGATATTTTACACCGAAATTTGTCCCCCGGTTGTCCTTTGTTGAATCGCCACGACTGTGGGAACATCCCAATAACTGTTACTTCGAATGGTCTGGAAGGTCTTCAAAGGGCGAGAGAGTCAACATTTGCAGCTACCGGTACATCTAACAGTAATGGGAATCAGGCGAAAGCTTTAGTGGAGACACCCGTTCGTTTGGATCTGGATAGTCTTCAAAAAGCAAAAGGATCAACTTTCTCAACTACCAGCGATGACCATCAGATTAAAGATTATGAAGAAAAGCCAGTTCGTCCAGATTTAAAATCTGCTGAAGCTAGAAGAAATCTCTTTGTGAGATTAAAGTGGAATGGTAGTGGGATACAATCTGTTAATGCTATGGTAGACGCTGGGCTGTACTATACAGGTATACGTTTATATACTCTTAAAAAAAGTAGGGGATATTCAGAAACAATACAAAACTGCGGAAATGCACTGCTGTTTTTATTAGAGGCTACCACTGGATGTTAATAACAGGCCAATTGCCTACACATGAACATAAACAGTTCATATGAGCGGCTTATCTGACGACCCCATTTCACTGTCAAAAGTGAAACTGGACGTTTATGATTTTTGTCTTAATAATGAGTAATTGCTCCACCAATCCTCAGACATTCAGCAATTCGTCGTGACATGCTCCTAATCAACCGTTCAATCACGATTTGGGGCAATCTGACCTACTCCTCTAGCATTGCCACAGCCAATCTTGTAGTGTTGTCGGTTGACGTTGACGTCGACGAACACGTCTCCCGATCAAATTAAACGTAACACATTAAAGCAAAGATACACTAAACAGTAAATCTTATGCAAGAACCGGTAGGATAGCAAACATGGATAGGATAAACCAGCAAGCGGTAGTTTTCATCAACCCTTCCTTGAAGTGTCAAATTTGACAATGAACCCCTCCCACGTGTATGGCGCTATTGCGTGTCGCACATGCAGCTCAGTGGTTCTGTTGGGGCGATAAGTTCTTCATCTGTGAACATACTCTCAAAGCATGTCAAGTGTCATATCACAAGTATTTGCATTTCAATATCCCCTACTTTTTTGAAGAGTATATTTGGCTTTCACATGGCCACGGTAGTTCATCTGTGGTTGGTGTACACTATTGGATCTGGGGCTAAAGCTGCCGTTTTGACCTGTCAATACCATATAATAATAAACTATCATTGATTTTCTTTTTTCATAATAAATAGTTTTAGCGATAACTGTTGAATTATTCAAAAATATGAATTGAAGGGAAGTGCTGGTTTTGTCCCCAGTGAATACAGACTATTTCACTCTTATTTCAGTTCAATATGGCATATCATATGTTTTGTCCACAGATGTATAATGCATCTCCTCATATACATATATTGTATAGTGGATTCACCTCTGATTATATTCGACTTCTTGAAGATTCCATTATTTTTAACACATCTGTATATATTAGAATTATTTCATTTTAAAAACGTTTGTCACAGTTAGGCTTTAAGTGGTTTAATATAAGCATTGTAACGAGGTGGATCCCGGATTTGTGTACTGGTTGGGTTTTGTTGAGGAATGTTCAGAATAGGCAGATATTATAGGCGCCTTGCATCTACTTGCTATTCCATCGATAAAACGACAGATCTTTAGTAAATACTTGTTTTAGATATCAATGTTTTAACATGGGTGGATAGAAATGGACACTTACTATCAGGAGCGGGGTGGTGGTGCAGCGGGGTCGGGGGACATCCATGGATAGGCACTTTCGTAATAATAATAATAATACGGTCGATCGCTGTTTTCCATAATAAACGTGGTGTTCTTTCATATATTTTAATAATTCATTATGTTTGTATCCAGCTGTTGTTGTTTATATATTAAGACATTTGACAGTTTGACAGTGATTCAGTAGAAAATATAATTTATATTGAAATCATGCATGCTACAAATATTAAAAAAAATTTAACGTTCTAATTTCATCAATAATTGATTGACACCGTGTAACATGTTTTTAATCCGATAACAATATTTGCATTTGTATCGTCCATTTTGAATTCGTGCGTTGTATTTTCAGGATATTCAGTCTAGTAAAAACAATTCATAACTCTACGATTATTATACGTTTTTCTAATGAAATACAAGTTGGGGTCATGATTTTTTATACGCCCACATTTTCATGTAGGCGTATATTGTCGTCGCCCCTGTCCGTCTGTCCGTCCGGACGTCCACAATTGTTTGTGAACACTCTACAGGTCACAATTTTTATCCGATTTCAATGAAACTTGAAATATAGGTTTATCGGTTCCTTTCGATATTGGCATGTATCAGACTGTAACTTCGTGGATTATTGCCCCTGATTGTACGAAAAATCACGTTTTTAGCCTGTGAACACTGTAGAGGTCATAATTTTTATCCGATTTTGATGAAACTTGAAATGCATGTTTATAACCACAGATCTCGGTTCATTCCGATATTTGCTCATATCGGATCATAACTTCCTGAATTATGGCCCCTGATTGTACGAACAATCGCGTTTTTAGCTTGTGATCCCACCAGAGGTCACAATTGTTATCCGATTTAAAAAAAGACGTTCGAATATATCACCTTTACACCGTAATTTTGTCTGAGGTTGAGTTTCATGAAAATCAGACCAAAATTGCCAGACAAAATGGTCGCCCCTCGTACGCAAATAGTGTAAACATCTGGAATATCAAAGTTGTGGACATTTTAGTTGTAGAGGTCAAAATTTTTATCTGATTTAAAAAAAAAACTTGTGAATATATCACCATTACACACTGAGATCTTGGTTCCTTTTGGTAATCGCGCATATCCTTGATTTTGGCTCCTGATTGTTCGAAAAATCGCTTTTTTAACATGCGGATTCTCTAGGGGCCACAATTGTTTTCCGATTTTAAAAACCGGTTAAATATATCACCATTCCACCATAATGAAGGTTGAATTCGAATTTCGGGAAAATCGAAATGAAACTGCCCGACAAAATCGCCGCACTTTGTACGCAAATTGTGTAAAAGTATGCTACGAAGGTTGTGGACCCTCTAGAGGTCACAATTTTTATCCAATTTTGATGAAACTTAAAACATATCTTTATATCCCAAAGATCTCAGTCCCTTTGGATATTTGCGAATTTCAGACCATAACTTTCGGGATTATTATTGTTGATTTGTTTCATGAGGTCACAACCTGTCTTGTTTAAAAATGTTAAATTTATAGATAAAGCCTATAGGATTGTTCTAAATAAGGCAAACTGGTTTTTATGGTAACCAATTTAGTTTTATTTAAGACAATCGATTTGGTTTCAGTAAACATTAATGTCTTTTATCTGGCTATTGCATCTCAATTAAGTATCAACATACTCAGATTGTACTAAATGACACCACGGTTTCTGATGGTGAGGCTGCTAAACTCTGACAGGCTATTCTAATATTTTTTTTATTCTAGGATATATCACTCCCCTACCCAAAATTAGCATTATCGGTTTGTTTGAGTTTTCAGAAGAAGGGGTTATGCTCGGAACATTGCATTTAATTACATTCCTGCCGACATTACTTCAAGTCGAGTTATCACTTCTATATAAAAAGGGTCTTGTATCGAGTTTTATTTAACAAGCGGGTCATACTTTGGCATCCTGGGCCTGAGACTTCACAGGAAAGAAATGTTATGGTGAATTCAACGTGCGCCAAGAAATTAGAATCAATTGCGGTAATTAAATATGTGTAGATGGCATTGATATGCGGACTACTGTTAGAGACTTGGAGGCCTCTGATTCATGAAGACACGGGTAAAAACCACTGGATCTGGAATTGTAGAACGGTAAACCGAAACGTAATGAGTTAGCTCTCAGAGAAATCATTTTGTATATGCGCCACATGGTTACTATGTATTAATCTACAATCTGCATCCCCGTTCATCCCGCTATAGCGGTTGAGAACTATTGTCTAAATTTTGTCCCCCAATTCTGCCTTCTTTGATGAACCAGAAATACTGGATATTAAAGGACAATATTGGTGCCAGTCATTATCAAATATGTGTTAGAGCTGGTTAAACAAATTCCAAATATATTTTTAACACATAGATCATTGTTACGATAGCTGAGTAATACAGGTTTCCCGTATCGGAAGTGACGAACGCCAAAGGAAAACACGAGTCGCCGCTCTATATAACTGACTGAAGCGACGAGTGATAACAGATACAGGGCCGAATTTCTGCTCACTAATAATTCCTTCGAAGACCAAAAGTTGTTATATGGGACTGTAAGAGGATAAGAGGATATCTGACAATTCAATAAAGTAATTGAATGTCATAAGATAAGAGAACACGAGAAAAATAGAAATAGTCCGTACATTCACTTGTTTATATTCATTCTATGCCTTATAAAAACATGGTAATGCACTGACTTTTTCTGTTTTTATTTCGTGTTCTCTTATCTAGTGGCAGTCAATTCTTTTTATGAATTGTCAGATATCCTCTCACAGTCTCACACAACAACTGTTGGTTTTCAACATGAGCTCATGTGAGGTTAGTCACCCGCAGGTGGTTTGGGTTAGCATGTTAAAGTAGCTAAGTCTCTAACTCAATATCATCCAAAATCTTCGACAGAGAAAGCACGAATTATTTATCAGTTTAAACCAACAATGATGTTGTGATCTTACTGGGAAAAAATGGGCTTCTGATATACAATATTTAAGACAAAATAAACATTTTACCATTGGTACACAAATCGTGTACCGTAATGCGTTACGGCGCCATTTATAACAAGGGACTCGAAGAACGAGGTTAGACATATTCCACAAGTCATGTCAAACGGTGACGTCATATTCTTATCTGGAGAGCACGCGCAATAAATACTATCGGTGTAGACTGGAATAACTAGACGCTAGAGATGGGCATTCGATTGAGACTTCTGGCGTATTTCGCCGAACATAACTGGTTAGAAGTTATTGTAAAAACAGAAACGATTGAATGTAAATCAGTTTATATACATTCATATTGCATTATTATATGCGTTGCGACCCATTTGTGTCAATTTCTAGGTCCCAAATATTAGTGACTTAGCTCCTTTAATATATCAATATTTTCTCTCTCTTTATTTTCAAAGTATTTGCATAACCAACAAAATGTTCATATTGTGAATCGCACCAGTCCTGAACAAATTCAACCCAATAATCACCACCCATACGCAACAAATCTACGATATTTGAATGGTATCCATTGAATGGTTTAGAAGAAAATTAAAAATCATTCGTATTAAGATCTCTGCTGGGATTTTAAAAAAATCAGTTTATATAATATTATAGATTATAAATTTTGTTTCGGTTTATATGATATTATATTGATTTGAAAAGGGTCGAACAAAGGTAAAGACCTATATATTAGTGATACGTCAGCAACATCCATTAAACACGCCGACGTTTAATCATCTAAGTAGAAATCGTGCCTCATAATATATGCTATCGTCTCATGAAAAAATTCGATATTAAACTTACACTTGGAAATATTAGAGGAGAAACAAATACGATAGTACTTTATGGACCAGGAAACGAGTATGACGCCATATCAAAAGGTGGTACGCAATTATCCAAAGAACAAGCATGTCACATTTCATATCGATCGTACTTGAATTGGCGGACCCTTAGTAGAACTTCCTGAAGCAGTGGTGACTATTCACACTGTCTTCATGGGATCTTTCAGTACAAGATCAACACCCTTAACTACATGTGACTTAAAGGACAATATTGGTGCCAGTCATTATCACATATGTGTTAGAGCTGGTTAAACACATTCCAAATATACTTTTAACTCAGAGATCATTGCTACGATAGCTGAGTAATACAGGTGTCCCGTATCGGAAGTGACGAACGCCAAAGGAAAACACGAGTCACCGCTCAATATAACTGACTGAAGCGACGAGTGATAACAGATAAACGGCCGAATTTCTGCTCACTAATAATTCCTTTGAAGACCAACAGTTGTTGTGTGAGACTGTGAGAGGATATCTGACAATTCATAAAAAGAATTGACTGCCACTAGATAAGAGAACACGAAAGAAAAACAGAAAAAGTCCGTGCATTACCGTGTTTTTATAAGGTATAGAATGAATATAAACAAGGGAATGTACGGACTATTTCTATTTTTCTCGTGTTCTCTTATCTAATGACATTCAATTACTTTATTGAATTATCAGATATCCTCTTACAGTCCCATATAACAACTTTTGGTCTTCGAAGGAATTATTAGTGAGTAGAAATTCGGCCGTGTATCTGTTATCACTCGTCGCTTTAGTCAGTTATATAGAGCGGCGACTCATGTTTTCCTTTGGCGTTCGTCACTTCCGATACGGGAAACCCGTATTACTCAGCTATCGTAGCAATGATCTCTGTGTTAAAAATATATTTGGAATGTGTTTAACCAGCTCTAACACATATGTGATAATGACTGGAACCAATATTGTCCTTTAACTTTCTGGGTCGTTTCATTATACAAAACCCTTACATAAACGGTGAAATATCAAGTCTCTTTCAATGAGATGCAAGATTATTTTCAATGATGCTATGACTGTGTAGCAATGACTGCCGCGAACTAATGATCTAGTGTGATCGAAAGTAAGAAAGTTTCTCTGTGTATAATGCTCATAGTCTGTGGATTCATAACTGCATGAAAGTGAAATAATCATTGTTTTACGCATTATTTACAATGTATTTGTTAGGCCTGGCTGATTGTTGTAGATGTTTTCAATGTGGTGGTGGTTTAAAGCAATGGAATGCATCTGATGATCCTATTATAGAACATATTCGATGGTTTCCTTCCTGTGCTTATGTGTTACATAGATATGGTAGAAATCTTGTTGAAACAGTTAAAGCCATCTTTAGCTATAATGGCAAACTAGAGGTGAATATTTTCCCCATAATAACTTCTAATATATCACTGAAAATAAAATTGTTTTATATAAATTGAGGTATGTGACACTCTGTACTATAATGTCATAACGCATGCAATAAGATTTGATAACAAACGTCATCAATTGTACCACATATCCAATCTGAATAAAACACAGATCCTATTTCGTTTCGTTTTTTATAGTTTACAATTTCGTTTTACTTGCCTTCACTGCACTAGGATCTGGAAGATTTGTTATATAACCCACGTTCTGGTTGATCTGAGAGATTAGTCAATGAAATTGTCTGTTGTGGCGAGTTCTTGGCGTGTGGTGCACCGAACTGTTTGTAGACATTCGCAGAAAAAGTTGTATTTCCAAATACCCATCAACGCTGATTGGTTAATCTGGCGTCATAGGGTAAAAAGTCGCGTGTATGACCCCGGACGCGACCTCTAACTCAAGTAGTGGAGGCCATCAAAATTATTAAAAAAAACGAAACGAAATATAGATCTGGGTCAAAAGCCGCGTGTATGACCCCGGACGCGACCTCAAACTCAAGTAGTGGAGGCCATAAAAATTATATAAAAAAAAAACAAATAAAAAAACCGAAACGTAATATAGATCTATATATTTTGATCAGATTGGCCACATATCTTAATGACCTCTATGAATTGGATTAAAATAAACGCATCGATATCGTTATATTTTATATCTTGGTTTGTTTTGTGGGATGATAATCTGTCTTCCAATTTACGTCTGTAGATAACGCCATCTTTATTATACAGCCGATTGTGTGTTCCGCTGTTTATTTACATAGAACTTGCCCCATCACTAATCAAAATAACACATTAGATAAGCCCCATCCCGTAAAAAGGTTTAGCTTCTTTAAGAAAGAAAGATATTGTTATTAGGTAATTGTGTGATCTATATGTCTAGCTAACCATTGAAGAAGTCAGAAAGGTAGAAGTTATGAGACTTAAAGATCCTACGTCATCGATGGCTAGTATTATTTTCAGTAAGTTTCAATTTGTTCTTGTACCTGTAAACATCACCCTATTGCCAACGCTGGGTGGCCACCACTTTCACTTTTCATCAACAGTACATTATGACAATAATTGTATTTCGAAGAAAGCAGGGGACTATTAAAATGTGTTCGTCCGGCTGTCTGTATGTCCGTCTGTCCGTCACACTTTTTGGAACACAATAACTCTCCTTTTGATTCGGCTAGAATGTTCAAACTTGGTGTAGGTGTTTTTTAGGTCAATACCTTGATGGAGTTCGAAGATGAGCATTTTCTGTTTAGGTTAAGCAGAGATAAGCCATTTTATTGATTGATGCTTTGGGACACGATAACTTTAGTTCTAATTAAGTGACGGTGATGAAATTTGGTGTATAGTTTTATTACATCAATACCTTGACTAAGTTCGATAATGAGCATTTTCTGCTCAGGGTAAGCAGAGGGATAAGCAATTTGATTGGTCGACACTTTGGAACACAATAACTATCATTCTAATTTAGCTAGATTGTTCACACTTGGCATAGATGTTTATTAGGCGAATGCCATGATCGAGTTCGAAGATGAGAATTTTCTACTTAGGCTACGCAGAAATAAGCAATTTGATTGGTTGATGCTTTGGGGCGCGATAACTTTGGGACGTCCACTCGACACAAACTAGGTCATTTCGGGACTAACATATGGTTTGATTTTATGTCAATAATTCGCTTTTGCGTAGGCGTCTTTAGCAGTGGGAGGAAACCGGAGGACCCGGGGAAACCCCACGAGGTTGAACATGTGAAGCTACTCCTTGTCACGCACAAGCGGGGATTCGAAACCACGCCAGTTGACTCAATGACAGACTTTATGATACAGCGCGCACGTGCTAACCATTCGGCCATCCAACCCCCCAACCCCCCAAATTAAGTCGAGTGATGAAACTTAGTGTATAGTTTTATCACATCAATACCCAATACCTTGACTACGTTCGATAGTGAGTATTTTCTGCTCAGGGTAAGCAGAGCTGTCAGCAATTTGACGGGTGGAGACTTTGGAACACAATAACCCTCTAATTGGGGTAGAATGTTCAAACTTGAGGTAGACGTTCATAAGGTCAATGCCGTGATGGAGTTCGGCGATAAACATTGTCTGCTTACGGTAAGCAGAGATAAGCAATCTGATTGGTTGATGCTTTGGGGCACGCTAACTTTGGTTATAAATAAGTTAGAGTGATGAAATTCCGAGTATAGATTCATCATATCCATTACCTTGAGAATTTTCTGCTTAGGCTAAGGAGCGATAAACAATTTGATTGGTCAAGACTTTGAAACATAACAACTCTGCTTTTAATTGAGGTAGAATGTACTTGATTTAGATGTTCATTAGGTGAATGTCTTGATGGAGTTCAATGATTAACATTTCAAGATCCCTTGGCAGTTGGAATTCGATATAAGAGTAGGCGATAGTGCCGCTGCCCGGGCAAAATTTCCCTCATAGCACACTGTATGGCGTATGTCCGTCTTCATTAGCCCAGCATAGGAGCAGAACAGTAGGACGTTAAACCCCATTTCATTTCATTTCATTTAACATTTCAAGCTAAAGCTAAGCAGAGCTTTGATTCTATCTGATAGAGAGTGATGAAACTTAGTGTATAGTTGATAATCAGTTTGATTGCTTGATACTTTTGAAAAAAATAAATGTGCGATTACTTAATGTGTCATCTATTTGTTTGGGGATTTCGGCGGGGGACATCAGCCTCACAGAGTAAATGGAGTACGAAATTGGTGCCGTTGATTTTCGCCATTTAACAGAAAAATAAATCCACAGTTATCATAGATATTTTATTAAAAATAATGAGATTTACCGTGGCTTGTTATCCCTAGATAATATCTCTCTAATTTTAGCCCAGTTATTTTCGTGCAAACAAATTATTTTACGGTTTTCGCCCAGCACCCACAACCTTTTCTGGGGGTAAAAATAAAAATGCATCGACTACACAATTAGCCTGGCTGTTATTCTTCAGCTTAATTTGTTTCTGGGTTGTCAGAATTAACTGTCAATGAATGTTTTGTTAGACTGAACTAAAGTACTTCATTTTGAATGACTGGAAATCTTGAACTGATTCCTGTACTTCCCTAGGGTTAATCGTCTCAATACATGAGGGGAAATAACTCTTATAATTTCATTAAAACTTTCGTTTCTCGTGACAGTGAATTAAACCTTACGCGCAAACTTTTAACGACATTTGTTTTAATTGTAGAGGTTATGCAGGAACACCATCAAGAAAAAATTCAACACGAATTATATGAACACCAAGGTAAATATTGGTTCACCGACCGAATTTTCTTCATTTTGCTTAAAAAATTGTGGCTTCTAATTATAAAGGTCCATTTCAGTTTGCTGGACAAAATTCCTTGTTATTATTTGTGCGAAGCTGATGTGACAGCACCGTGCAAAGAGGGTGACAGAGGGCGGGTCTTTCTCGGGCACCCATTTCAGACTGGGGTTAGGGTTAGGGTTGGGTTGGGTTAGGGTTACGAAATTTTAAATGCACGCTGTTATATTCGTTCTACAAGTTGCACTACTTAATTTGATAATAGAAAGTTTTTACATATCTAAAATGTCTACCTTTCTCATATTTCTTAGTACTAGGCCTTTAGTCACGGTCACCCAGAATATCCAAGTCTTCAACGGAGGGTCTGGGAATGTTGTCAATATTTGACGAAAAATTCAATTGCCCATGCGTAACCGGAAGTTTTTTGTTTTATTTTATGTGGTTAATTATCCAGTATCTTTATCTTTGGTCCGATCCCTGCATTGGCCGAGAAAATTCATCCCGATTTTCCGACGTGGTTTCCCCTTGTCAGTGATGCAGGACGGAGGACCTGACAAGGACAGCTGTCTAGTCCTTCGGATGAGACGAAAAACCGAGGTCGCGTGTAAACATTAGAATGCACGTAATTAAAGATCCCTTGGAAGTTGGAATTCGATATAGGAGTAGGCGATAGTGCCGCTGCCGGGGCAAAATTCCCCTCATAGCACACTGTATGGCGTATGCCCGTCTTCATTAACCCAGTATAGGAGCAGAACAGTAGGACGTTAAACCCCATTTCATTTCATTTCATTTATCTTTGGTCCCTTCAAATAAGAGTTACCTACCTTCCCGCAATAAATCCCATAATTCTTGCATTATTATAAACAAACACGAATCGTGACGACGAATTGAGATTAATTTTAAAAAAACCCATAGATATGGCTTACAATAAAATAAAACTAAGAGTGTTGGATATTGAACTGGCAATTCAATCAAATGGAATTTCTGAAATGGCATGATTAAATTAATTTCATTGTCATCGACATCTTGTTTTAGGAATAGTTACCTCCCTTAGACTTTGTTTATGTTAACGTAAAAGACCGGATTGTCTAACCAATGACATATTATTCTCAAATGTAGACAACGGATGATAGAGACTACTAGGCCTTATACTGGGGTGTTGGGGCCATACAGTGACCCGGCTATCGCCAAACCTGTGCACGCCACTGTGGCAATTTCAGCATCTAGTTTATTCTACAATCCAGGCCCGTAGCCCCGCCCCGAAAAAATGTTGTGCCCCCCCCCCCCCCACGAAAAAAAAAATTGCCGACCATAGCTCTAAAAAACCTACTGTAGTCTGTGCCGGGTGTGCCCCCCCCCCTAAAAACTTCACTGCCCCTTGCTGGCTTCGGACCAGCTACAATCCTACATACTCTTCCATGTTCCGGTTTTTACCATGTTTAAAATTGAAACGTAGGCTGTTTAATGGTCGTTCTGAGTGCTCGGCCTGGAATTTTCCCGTAGATGATGTGTACAGTATTTTGTATACAACATAGATTGATTTGGACATTTTTAACCTCATTAAGTATATCAAAAATATCAGTACAGTGTTTTAATTTTCAAAATATTTTTTATGAGTAAAATGTGTGGAAACACAATATTTCACTACAAATATACTGTATGGAATAAATCACAAAACGCGGTTATTTTGAGACTAACATAGTTGTTATTGCAGTATGAGGTGGGAGACTGGCGTTTCCACGCCTCCCCAGCATTTTTAAAGATACATTATGGGAGATTCGATAACCGAGAACTAAGCGGTTGAAATTTCCGGCTAGCCTTGATCATCATTACTAAAGTCAGTACGATAAACAGCATAGTCTCGATTTTCCATTTAATCGTTAAATCGCGAAGGAAAGTTATTCAGTAAATCGGCTCATAATCCACTAGAGTTGATTATGGTCTGGATCAATTAATTAATGTCTAATTAATAATTTAGATAACATTTCAGGCCTAAAGAAAGACCTGCAATAGACAGATTTAGCTCTTGCATAATGTATGTTTAAATGGGAAATTATCAAAATAATAATTTCAAATAGTAAAAAAGGTATCAGGTGATGTGATTCTCTGACGTCACTGGTTCCTCTCACATTATCTAAATAATTTTATCTTACAGAGAAACAGAAAGATCTAGCGTCACTTAAAGAAGAAAATAAGAGTTTAAAGAGAGATAGGATGTGTTGTGTTTGTAAAATAACTTTACGTAAAGTTGTGTTTATTCCATGCGGCCATCTTGTAACATGTCGTCCATGTGGTCAACATTATAAGAATAATAAAATGAAATGTCCTATTTGTCATCAAAATATAGTGGACATAATTATACCCTTTATGTCTTAAATGTTTGTTGTTTTATATATTCTTGGTGCAAGCAATGTACCGGAAGTAGATACGGTAGTCTTCTGTTGCTATGTATTGTTGTCACATAGCGCCATTTTGATGTGTATATTAACTGAACGTTTATATTTGTGGATATTTAGATTTATTGATGTAAATAAATTTGCCCATTCGTAAATATTTGATCAAATCATAGTGTTAGCTATAAACGACATACGAAAATAGTAGAGTTTTTCGCCAATGTTCATTATCTCTGGCATCCATAGACGGCATTTACTTTTTCCTATTTCCTGTAAGCGGGGTCTATAATAACCTTGTAAGAGCGGGTATCATTTTGTCGAACAGAAAAAGGTGAATATATGAAATAACAGCGACTAGATAACAATGCAATTAAATAAAACTCGAGCAGATGTCGTTTTCCATCTATGAAAAATAACCTAAACCCAAATGCACTGGGTGTAAAAAAAAGGGAAGAAAAAAATAAGTGAAACGAATTATACTGACTTGTGCCTCTGGAATGATTGGATCGGAACAATCATGGATATTTCCCGTATTTCACGAAACTCGAGAAATTCTACACGGATAACATAGGAAGGAAATTTACCAAAATCACCGAACTACAATGAGATTGTGGGTTAATGCGCCATTCTGCTATAAATAATCAAGTTGATTAATTTGGCACCCCATTATCTACTAATAATCCTTACTTAATTTGGCTGGTAAGGAAACGATAAGGCTATCGTTTTCCTTTTAGCAAACTTGTTTTATTTATGTATGTTCATCGTGTATATTCACATTTCCTTCAAAACATTATTTCGTCATTTGTAAGATAGAGAGATATTCTTTAATTGTGGTTTTATGTATAAGCTTTACATGAAGTAATAAATAAAATTTACCATTCCGAGTATTTGTGAGTCACTTGACGATTAACATTTGACAAATTGTCACTAAGCTACCATCTGAATTTGTCCCAATCGAAATTACTGAAAAGCAACTTCCAAAGGTCGAAAACTGACTGAATTGGAATAACCTCAAGTGGGGAATGGGGGGGGGGGGTCCGGACAGCGGCGCTACACCCTACTCTTATTTCGAATTCCAACTGTTTCGGGTTCTTTTACGTGCACGCAAATTTGTACACGGGACCCTGGTTATTCGACCCATCCGACGAACTTTCTAGGCCAGCGCAGGGATCGAACACGGGACCTCCAGGTTAGCGAAGCAACGTCTTGCTCAATGTGTCACCGTGGCTCCCTGGCATGATCCCCGCAATATGAAAATAAATTTTGTTTAACGTCCTATTTTTACTGTGCTATATGTAGGAAATTTTGACCGGAGAGAGGCGTTTCCGCCTACTCTTAATCGAAGTCTAGCTGTTCAAAGTTCTTTCACTTTCCCGCTAAAGTGTACAGTGGGTTTTCTTCCAACCCGAACGACTAGACGCTGTTCCTCGCGAGGCACGCAGTCCATTACCATCGAACTTTCTCACTGGTTAGTGGGTCATCACCTTACTTACTCAACCGATTCTAGACCAAAAAGTGAACCAAAATTGTTGTACGAAAGGTATGAAAAGGGAATTGCTATAAATAGACAAAATAAATCAGGGGACATAATTACTAGTCCATTTGGAGGTAGACCACCATTAATTTCCCCATTGACTTCAATGTTAATTCTGGCCTCTTTGCCCACCTCCAACTTTTCCCCAAATTTTCGTTGGGTTGAATGCTTTTCACTACAGACAGAGGAACAAATGGTCATGTCTTTGCACTAAAATTTGTATGAGGTTGACCACCAAAATTTTGAGATACACAAACTTGAAGAAGCATACTAAAAACATGTAACTAGTTGCCGTACATATCGCCGTAGCTAACCTGATAACCCTCTTATCCTCCGCCTCAAAATCATGAATATTTACCAAAACCTGGCAGAAAATGTTAATTCAAACCCTCTTCGTCCATTCTAGACCATAAAATCGACAAAAATGGGCATGCAAAAGGGGAGAAAAGAGAGAGAGAGAGAGAATTGCTATAAATAGACGAACTACAATTCATGTGTAGCGAGATGATTAAATTTAATGGTGGTCTGCCTCCATTTAAGACTGCTATGTTACGTGGTGGTTCAGGATTCTTGCTCATTTAGTCTGTATAAATTATGCTCTATAATAAAACTTCCCAGATGATTCGTTATAAACAAAACAATGGAGAGAGAGAGAGAGAGAGAGAGAGAGAGAGAAATGGGGTTTAACGTCCACTCGACACAAACTAGGTCATTTCGGGACTAACATATGGTTTAATTTTTTTTATTCCAATAATTCGCTTGCGCGTAGGGGTCTTTAGCAGTGGGAGGAAACCGGAGGACCCGGAGAAAACCCACGAGGTTGGACAGGCGACCCTACTTCTTGTCACGTACAACCGGGGATTCGAAACCACGCCAGTCGACTCAATGACAGACTGTATGATACAGCGCGCGCACGCTAACCATTCAGCCATCCAACCCCCCAACAAAACAATGGACAACGCTTCCGGTACTAATGAAATAAGAAAACATGGGGGTTAAAACATAACAAAACATTTATTTCGGGGTAAAGACTTTTCAGTTTCGTGCAGCATCTAGTTTAGGCCACGATAAGTTCATTATCTGCCGAATCAGAATCAACTTCTTCTAAACTCGAGTCTACGGTTGAACTGTCGGCTTCTATTTCACTTTTAACAACACTTTGGTCAGGATGTCGAGATTTAATGTGTCTTTCAAGATCGCGCCGACGAACTAGAACCTTGCCACAGAACTGACATTTATAGGGGGTGTCTCCTTCCGCGTGCAGTCTGACGTGCTTGTTCAGGTTGCTAGGGTCGCCAAATGGTCGTAAACAGACTTTACATTTTAACGGTTTGTAGCCAGTGTGAGTTCTTAAATGTATCTTGAGTCCATATTTTCTGGAATAAAGTTTACCACAATAAATACACAGGTGGCCACGTCGTGATTTACTAGTATAAAGTGATTTGGGGAGCAAGTCCAAGGGTTCTCCCTGTTTGTCCGATGGTAAAGGGAAGTTACAAGGCATATGGGGAGGTGAGTGTCTATTTACACCGGGAGATGATGAAGTAAAGCTTCTTTCGTATGATGATATGCAGTGATCTCTGTTGTCGATGACGTGGTGAACTGATGGTATCTGATTGCAACACATTCTGGTGGGCGCATTATAAGGCGAGAGGAAGGGATGATACAATCGGAGAGCCGTGTTGTCCATGGCAATAGGAAAAGCTGGCGTGTGAATATGGTTGAAAATTTGAATAGGTTGGGATACTGTGGACGCTGGATTAATCGGCGAGGCTGTGCTAAACATTACATCTCTCTTTGATAAATTGATGGCTTGGTCAGACGTCGTATGCGTCATTTGGGGCAGACGAGATATCCTCTCTACCTTTTCTAGTTTATTTATGAAGGTAGTAGGTTTATACGAAGATACGTCTGGTCTCACTGATGACAAATGACTAAAGGCAGAATAAGGATGAATGTCATTTAGCCCACTTCTCCCCCACATATTTCGTTTTTTATCAAACGCCGATGACGTTATTAGCTTCTCTTGCTTATCTTCTCGACTTTTTAGGCACCGGAAGCGGATGTGTGCCTTTAGCGAATTTGGAAATTGGAATGTCTTTTCACAAGCTGTACACGTGTATTCTTGATTTCCTGTAAATATAAAGAATTAACTTCTTTAATAAAGGTTTCTGACAAAATCACAGAAACGGAAGACATAAATTTCAATTCGTTTTCGCCTGATTTCTGGGTAGTTCATATACAGATTTCTTGGAAACTATGAGAGTTTCGTTTGACGTGGTTATCAGTTCTACGTTAACTTTGATAACATATAAATTAATTGATGGACAAAATGGATTTCAAATGTTAGTTTCATTAAGGTGATGTACAAAAACCTTGGAATTTTTCAAGTACTATTTTCACTTATCGGGGCGGGGGAGGGGCGGTTGGAATGGGCGCATATTTATGGGATTATGAAGTCAATTGTTACCATGTCGTCCGCATTGAACGAAAATCCTAGGTTTATCCATGTATATATTATAGTGCACGTAAAAGAAGACTTGACAGATGGAATTGTGTGAACAGTAGGCGAGAACGTCGCTGTTTTGGCAAAATTCTCATTCCTACATGTAACCGTGAGTTAGCCTCAACATGACTGAATTATTCTGCTGATAAGACTTCAAATTCCTCCTATATTATCAATACCTCAGTTAGAATTAATTGTAATCATTTAGAGCGGAGTAAAAATGGAATAGACAATACATAATGATAAATTAGTGTAATAATACGTGGACTTTATCAGGGAAACATGCCAAATTAACTGACGATCCTCTGTACACATGTTTAAAGTAGGTATATTAGTTTGACGTTTAATTATTATTAGTTCATACATATTGCAAGTTATATAAAATATCTTTGTATCAGAATGACATAAAAATCATACAATACATTCTCCATATTCAAAAATAAATTAAAATTGTAACATGCAAGTCCATATTCAAATATAGATATATAAACATATATTGTAATTTTTAGAAATGCGAATAAAAAAAATATTTAGTTACCTCTGATGTTCTGTGGTTTCAGTATGGGTATATCCTTGTATCTGGCTAATTCATCATTATACCACACCAGAAGTTGTTCGGACGTCTTTACAGATCGGATAAATCGAAGACATAATTCATGTTTTTCATCCATATATGCCTCTACATTTTGTTCGTGTCGGTCACGTGCCGGTTGTATGTAGACCATCCATTGGTTAGTTGGATCACCGTCCATCATTACTCGGCCATCTTTCCATTTAATCTGCAATAATAGAAGAGTGAGTAAATAAACAATCTTTCAATTGATACTTTAGGACTACAATGGCGTCCATTTATAAAGCCATTGGTCACTGTGTTAACGTGCTTGTTCTTTGACTTATGCTGTTCGTTAAAGTACAATCAAAGAACAACATAGACTAAAGTTTCCCGCCAAAATAATTAAAATTGCTATTTCATAACGAATTTGTGAATCGAAATATAACCATCATTATTATTTTAGATTGAATATGGACAGAGCCAGGGATGAATGGGAATAGGTCGCTTGGGGTCAAACACACAATAATTGTGTGTCGTAAATATTGTAATTAAACGGAATGGAGACTAATTTTGGAAGTAGGAATCAAAATGGGCTTCTATATTATAGTCCTGGGGCCTGTTTCACGAAATTTTAACTAATATGAAATCCAAATTTTAGTAATTTGATTGGATAATATTAGATTGATTTTAGTGCTTAGCCAATCAAAATTGAAATATCTATTAAAATTTGGATTTTATCTTTAGTTAAGATTTCGAGAAACAGGGCCCTGGGTTTTAGGAGGAAAATGAGACAAATTATTTCAGAGAATAAATATTACATGATTAAATCACTTAATTTATTTCGTTAATTCAGTGGGTGTTTTTCATTATAAAATGTAACTCATTTTGATATAGTATACTTTTATCAGAATTACACAAGGGATCCCGAATACAGAAATCAAAGAATGCCGACAATAAATCGTTCCGTCGCTTGCTAGAACCATAAAACAAAGATTTGTGTTTAAATTGGGAAATGAGGGGCTAGATTTGTCTGTTTTATGTAAGTAATGTTTTTTGGTAAATATTCGTCATGTTAAAACGGCTAAAAGACAAGAACGGTAGAACAAAACAATAATTGAAAAGATCAAACAAAACAACCGCTGAAAAGATACACTAACTATAGACGCGCGCGGTAGACCCTTTAAGATTTTAATGTTCCAACTTGTTGAAACTAATGACTTATAGTTTTCCATTCATAAGTATTTACACATTTATCTGGCCACGCGCTCCATGTCAATCGACTGTCTTCGTCACTCGGGTAACCGGCTCAATCCCAAGTCTTATTGAGGGTTTCAAGTAGAAATAAGTCGAATCAAGTAGCGGTAAGTTCTGTAATCAAAAACCGTGAACTACCTTATCAAACAATAGGAACGAGGATTGACCATTACCGATAGATTTTTAAACAGATGGTATAATGGCAAGTATATTGAAAAGGCGACTCAACAAGTTCCTCTTGAGTTTTTAATGTTAGTTCTTGGGAAACATACAGATCATCGTAACATTGACTATTTCTTAGTTCATGTGATATGGTATTTGAAATTAGAAAGTTCTGCAATTTCAAAACAGCAAACATTCGATGCGCTCCTACGAATTATAACATGAATTAGACTACGTTTAAATATTAATCGTCAAATGAAATTAAACCATGGAGTCCCATCGGTAAATATTCGCTGATATAAATTTTAAAAGATTTGACACCCCAGAAGATATCAGTTAAATTGGTGGTTCATTTTAGCTCTCCGTTTTATCAATTCAATGTTTCCTTTCGGAAAATAAAAGAAGGCAATCATAAAGTTATCTTTCCGTATAATTCATTACTATGGGGTTGGATTTTCTCCCCCTCCCCACTGATATAGTTATTATCACACAAAATGTCCGGAGGAGAATAAATTAATGGCACGAAAACAACAATATGTAATAACAATGATCACTTTTATCATGCGAGTAATGTCAAAAAATACCATGGCGGGCTTTCTAAATATGCTTCAGATCTTCAAGGAGTAAACTGAACGGCGTTGTGTGAAGATACTTAATATTCATGAAGTCTTAAGACACGCGACTCCTTTCAAAATACACAATTCACTTGAATTATGTTTTAAAGGTCGACATTATAATTATAATAGAGAGAGCGAAACACTTGCCAAATTTCCACGGCAAGAATGCAATGTGCTTCTTTTCTTAATCTTTTCACATTTATTATATTTGTTCCAAGATATAAATTACCTATAAAATGACTTGTCAACTGAGAATTATAAGCTCATTAATTATTCATATTAAAAGTCTTTATTCAACTCCCATCTACAAATTAAAACCAGTGATTGATTGCCCAATTCACTGATGGTATTATTATTATTTCTTCCTTATACAGAAAGGGTAATTATTTATAAAGAAGAGAATTTTGCTCTCCCACACCGCCCCTTTCTTCGATTATAATGTATGCATTTGAGAACTTTTTGTTTTCTTTTTCTTTTTCTTAAAAGTTTAAATTATTTTATTTTTTTTGTATATTAAAATATCCGATCTTACTGAGCATGACAGCGTTTTACGTTTCTTTCTATTTCACATTCCTCTTAGGACCGTTGGGACCGAAGTCAATACAAAATTCAATACAATTGTATAAATAAATAAATAAATAAATAAATAAGTCTCTTCTCTTTTTAAATGTAAACGAAAAACGAAAAACCTTTAATTTATAAATGGATTTGTAAGCACATTATTATTGAGACTGTTTCCATTATTCATACAATAAAATTGAATAGAACTTCTGCACCTTGCATGCAATTTTGTTGAAAAGGCAAAGGTGAAACAGTTAAATTTCAATTCAATTATATTCTGTCGAAATCTTAAAAAAAGCCGATAAAACCTTTTTCACAATGGAAGCTTTAACGTCGTCAAAAATAATTTATTCAATCGTTAAGGTTTTTATTTTGCAGTATGAATATCTAATATTATTTTGATTGTGTAGTCAATCTATTATTTTTTTTTAATAAATTGGTTTATTAACTTGAAGTCAGATGAGATTATTTCTGTCTCCCCCAGGTGGCACACAAATCGGAATTTTGTTAGTGCTTTTAAACTATACAAAGGGGACAAAATTCATAAAAGTCACGTCTGAAATAAGAATTAAAATCACACGAAACGAATAAAATTTAATTCATATCAACACAAAACTTTGGTTATTTTGAGACTAACACAAGTTTTATTCTATAATATTGCCCGGACAGCGACGTCTCCACTTACACTTCATCTAATTCAAATTAAGAAGGATTTTTTTCACATGCAAGTACACGTGGTGGTCTGCGTTTTTCGCTCCATCCGAATCATTATGGACAACATCTAATTTATCATATTGAAAAATCCCGAAATTCTTCTCAGCTATGGCTGCGATTCGAACCCGGAATAATCTAATAAGTGTCCAGTGCCCTTCCCGTTCGACCCCCACCCCAAACAACAAAAGCTAACGTTTTATTATGAATGTGAAGCTTGGAGAAACAAATGGTATTTACTTCCAGGCTAACCAATCAAATCTTTCAAGAACCAAAAAGTTCTTTAAAGAAGTTTTTTAAGTTGTTAAATTTTAAAAATAAAACAAAAACAAAACGCCGAAGCTAAGTAAAAAAGGTGACATTTTCAATCAAATCAATAAAAAATATCAATTAAATGGCATTCATTAAATTACAATTTTTTTTTTCTAAACGAAGTAAAAACATTATACTAATTAAATTGAAATCAAATAATTAAGTTTTAGTTTGAATTAAGTTTAAGTTTGAATCAATTATATTAATCAGATTGAAATGAAATCAAATAATTAAGTTTTAGTTTGAATTAAGTTTAAGTTTGAATCAATTATATTAATCAGATTGAAATGAAATCAAATAATTAAGTTTTAGTTTGAATAATTATAACTTTAATATTTATTTCAATATAATGTAAGTCAGAAATTGAATCTGTTTTTCTTCTTCTTTTTTAAAAAAATAATTATATACATATATATTAAAACTTACCTCTAAAACACATGAAATTGATGGTTTATCACAGGTATTTAAACCTATAGGTATAGTACGTGGATACGGTCCTACTATTGCCTGGGTGGGGATATCTGTTAACGCTACAACGCCCACATGTGCCGGTGGGGTAGGGGACATCGGCGAACCACTATGCTCAGACTCCGTGTTCATAATAAGGCGCGCTTAGAGCCGGTCCGTTTTCTTCGGCTTACAAATCGTAATGAGAAATTTTACGGGACTTTGGGCTTTTTAAAGTAATTAACTTTCATATCATAAAACATACATGTGAATTTTTCTTATATTAAACATCTGTGGGCCACCACATGATTACACGAAAACAATTCATTTTCTACAAGCCCATCACTCTGACTCCCTGCACGCGTACGCGCATGCGTGTGGGTGGGTATAACGGGACAAGTATATCATTGATGTTTGTTGAAGTTGAAGAATACATGAATTAGTTCAGTACTCAGTAAAATGTCACACGACAATTTGCAATAAACTATCCGGGGGCTTATTTGTATTAAGTGAAATTACCCGTCCCTTATCACTGTCTTTTTTATATGAAAAATACAAATTTAAATAAACAGAAAGGGGCCCGTTTACATCAAGGAAAAAAGATACAATTCAGGAACAGTAAATAATGAACTCGTACAAAATATAAATTACTCTCTTTATTAAAACTTTATGATGAAGTCGTATAATGAGATATTTATTTTTGATTTGTTTTGTAGTAAAATGTGTTAAAATGATTGAATAACATAATTAGTATAGTAAATTAGCCTTAATAATGTACGGGCAGGTAGAAACTTGGTTCATTCATGATAAACAGAAAGTGTAATTTTTATGTCATTTTCCATAATTGTTGAAATAAACTGGATGAGGGTGATATTATTATTTCGTGTGTGTTTTTATATAAGTGCAGTATTGACAAAATAAAAGTTCACACAAATAATAACGGCGCAAAGTATAATTTATTTACTACAAACGTGAAATTTAAATCTGTAAATTTAGAATCAGGAGACGCCAATGTACAGCTTGCCATAATGTAAATTATTACAAAATTTGGCAAAAAAGTAGCCCCGTCGTATATAGTCTTTATTTAAATAGTATTGTGAAAAATATCCAGTTATATATAGTCT